ATTGATGAATAAATATATATTTATCTAGCCTCTGAATTATTATTGATATATTTCTTTTATTGTATAAAGAAGTATTGGCAAGAGCAAGTGAATGCATTATGGGTGTACCTAAAGGAATTTACTCATAATGTTAATATATTTTATACAAAATTTTTCAGTTAAATTTGCAAGCAAAAAATAGGGTCTCTTGGTATTTGTAATGGTTGGGTTTGAAATATTATATTTTAAGTATTTTAAATGTAATTAGTTTTGGTTTGTAGAACTAAGTGATGATATGCTCTTTTGTTTCTAAACTGTTATGCCATGAAGATTGGAAGTTTTCAAATTGAAAACCCTGATGGAATAGTACTGGGGTATTGGCCAATGTTGTCTTTTGCTGAAGGTAGGTTTTCCTTTAATTTGTTGTATTTTTTATTTTGAGATGTAAATAAGCAAATACTTCTTATTACTGCTATTATTTTCTTCACTTTATAAATTATAATGAAAAATACAGATGATGCATTTCTTTATTTAGTCTATAAACAATTGCTGAAATGTGGGGTTTTCTAAACTAGTGCTTGTATTACATTATGAGGTTGGTTGTTTTAAAGGTTCTACATTCTATCGAGGATAAATGATAATTAGAAAAGTTTGTCAGTCTTTGTGTTATGTTGCGTGCTAGTATATTTGCATCTGCGTTTCTTGAACTGTCAAATTGCTTCTAGAAAAGCACCAGGAACAGTTCTAGGTTGTCATTTGGGAGGGGAGAGGGCAAGTGGATATTTTGTGACTCTTGTATGCAATGTCATTGTAAACATCGTGTATCTCTTGTTAGTTAGTTAGTTAAATAACTTGGCAGACATAGGCAGGAATATACAATCTCATTTTCCACTGCTTAGCATTAAATAACCTTGAAACTTTTTTTGAGTAGAATTTTGGGGGGACCTTGATGACTGTAGGGGGGTGGGAGCAAAGTTATAAATTTTATTAATCAATCTTACTGTTTAATATTTTGTGGGTTAAACTTCTTTACAGGAATTGCACAGTTTGAGTTAGCTTTACCTGATGAACCAACCTATGGAATGTGGCGTATCAAAGGGAACATTGAAGATACTGAAATTTATGAGAATTTTGAAGTTAAAGAATATGGTAAGTTTTTTTTTTGAACTGACAGGTTTTCTCAAAAAGTTTCTAATAGCTATTAAGTTAAAGGCGTTAAAAAATATCGAAATAAGGAAGTTAAATTCTTTTAAGATTTTCAAACAGTAACTTTGTTTTTTTGTAAAATAATTTTAGTTAATTTTGCATTGTTTTTCTAATTTTTACACGTTTGTGAATTAAAAAAAACAACTAAAAGTATTAAATTATTCACTCTAGTGGGCATCATTTTGAGTAATTGCATGTTTCAACTGTTAAACTGTTTGTAGAAATGGCCAAAAAAAATTGGGTTAAAGTCATTCATTTCCTATGTAAAAACATATCAATCCTAGCAGTGACTAGTGGAGTTAATTGCAAAAATGAAGGTATTTCTTGTGACATGTGTGTTAGAGTGCATCCCATAGCCAAAACTATGATGGATTCATAAAAAAAAAAACAAAAAAAACTATTTATTTCAAAAGTAGATAAGATCCACGTAAAAGCCATTGCTACTTCTAGACTTAATGTTCCATGTTGTAATAATTAATTTAGAAGTACTGATCCACTTCTTATAAAAAGACAGAAGATTTCTTGTACAATCTAACCAACATACGTATTTTCAGAACAATGTTATTTATAAAAAAACATATGAGAGGGTTGTACACCATCAGTTTGATACTGGACAATATTTGTGAAATTGTGCCTTTTTAAGTTAACACAAAGTATTAAACTAGCTTAGGTACTTTTTTTTTACCTATTCTAGACTGGAGATTTAATTCATTCTTCAGTATATAATGTGACTCTAGATTTTTTTGAACACATTAAGTATATTTCATTGAGGTTCGGTGTATAGGACAGCTTCTATCGTCAAGCAAGTCTAGGACATTACTTTTGTAAAGAAATGCTTAGAAGTTATTTTTAAACTATGCTAACCCATGCTCTAGGGTAATCAATACAACCATGTGTATTATTCTTTTATTCTCTCTCTGACAGCTCAATTCAGCATAACCTAAATCACAAAAATGTAATAAATAACCTTACAAAGTTTTCACCACAGTTGAACTCCTTTTCTAGTACAAAAACAAAGTACAAAGCTAGTGTGCATTATAGAAACTAACTTTTTCTTTTTGATATAATATTAGCAATATTTTATTATGATGGACGACAGCAATAGATTTAAAAAAAAGTCTTGACTAATTGTAATTAGTATGTAAGATAAATAACTTCTAGTTATGATGAATCAAGACAAATGATACAATTACAAATATGTTATTGTAACCCAGTAGGTGGTTTGATGTCAATGCACTTACTTAAAGAAAGCTAACAAAAGTAAAGGTAACAATGTAGTTTTGGTTATATATACTATTGACCAGAGAGTTTTTAAC